TACAGGGACTGAGCCATACTGTGAAGAGAGACTAGTTACTACATACAGGGACTGAGCCATACTGTGAAGAGAGACTAGCTACAGCGCAGTTCCAGGTTGCTTCAGTTTTCCACTGCAGAAGGGTCAGCTTGGTAAAGGGAAGAGGTGCTTACTTACTGTTGAAACCATGTTCGTCTTCATTTACTATGTGCTAATTTCCTAATAATCTCGTACATCTGTGAGAATCTGTCGGTTATGTTGCATCAAACGCTAGCAGAATTAGCATTCACTTGCGAAAATTTGCCATACAAATCCATTCTGTTCAGCTGTGGAAGTTTGGTCATACTTTCGGCCCTGCTAGTAAACCGGGCCATGTCAGCGCGGGTATGGCTTGGGTACGGCTCCGGTACGGTTTGTGTTCTGCTCGGGTACGGCTTGGGTATGGCTTGGGTATGGCTTAGGTACAGCTCGGGCACGGTTCGGCTTCTGCTCGGGTATGGCTTGGGTATGGCTTGGGTATGGCTTAGGTACAGCTCGGGTACGGCTCGGGTACGGCTCGGGTATGGCTTGGGTATGGCTTAGGTACAGCTCGGGTACGGCTCGGGCACGGTTCGGCTTCTGCTCGGGTACGGCTTGGGTATGGCTTAGGTACGGCTCGGGTACGGCTCGGGTATGGCTTGGGTATGGCTCGGGCACGGTTCGGCTTCTGCTCGGGTACGGCTTGGGTATGGCTTGGGTATGGCTTAGGTACGGCTCGGGGTACGGTTCGGGTTCTGCTCGGGTACGGCTCGGGTACGGCTCGGGCACGGTTCGGCTTCTGCTCGGGTATGGCTTGGGTATGGCTTAGGTACAGCTCGGGTACGGCTCGGGTATGGCTTGGGTATGGCTTAGGTACAGCTCGGGTACGGCTCGGGTATGGCTTGGGTATGGCTCGGGCACGGTTCGGCTTCTGCTCGGGTACGGCTTGGGTATGGCTTGGGTATGGCTTAGGTACGGCTCGGGGTACGGTTCGGGTTCTGCTCGGGTACGGCTTGGGTATGGCTTGGATGCTTTAAACTGGAAAACCGCTCGTTCGCAGTACAGCTCGGTTCTTGGCGGAAGTTGGAAAGGTTTTAATGGCACAAACTAATTATGTAAAAAAATGGTGCATTTGGTAATATTAATCTAGGAATCTCAGCAGTAGCATGAATTTGATCATTCGTTTGTTGGGCTGAAGACTGAAAATGTGTGTCAGAGCTACGAGGCAGGCGCGCTCTGCCTTCAGCTGGCGTCGGCCGCCCATGCGGTCACCTGCAGGATGTATCCGCGCATGTAGTCCTGCAGCGTCCAGCCCAGCGTGGCCAGCATGCGCCCCACCTCGTCCCGCCGCAGCACGCTGAGCAGCCGGTCCAACAGGATCTTGAGCCGCACTGGGACGGCCTGGGTGCCGAAGAGCATCAGGCTGCAGACGTCAAAGGCCGTCCCAGACCGCACTGCCTCCACCGGGCCGACCTGCTGCTCTGCTGTCAGCCTGCTCAGAGCTGCAGGGTGCAGGGCACGTATCAGGACAGCAGGGCGGCGTGGTCACTAAGACGCTGGGCAGGTAGGTACAGCTACAAACTGCATTTTACCCACCTCTAAGTGTGTGTGTGTGTGTGTGTGTGTGTGTGTTGTATACAGTGCTCACAGAAAGTCTTGGGACTCTTAATTCAGTTAAAATTTTGCATATTTATTGGTTTATAACAAAAGTCATTACTTTATTCATTTGTTTACAAAAAATAGTTTTAAGTAAAACTTTCATTTCAAGTAGTAATCAATTGACACCCAAATTATAGTTGTAAAAGAGCTGTTCTGAGTTATAAAGTTCACTGAAAATCAGTGCTTTTTAATTAGTAACACCTCTGCAATAACATAAAACACCAAATATTTGTGTTTAATATCCCTTTGGGAGCCAGTTACTACAACTGCAATTAATATCGAAATGGTAAAAACAGAACTGAATGAGCCAAAACAAAATTAAGACATTTAATAAAAAGAAAATGTCTGTGTACAATATATGTGCCGATATGTTAAACATTACTTGTCAATTAACTTTTTTTTATGAGACCAGTAAATGTGCAATATTTTTACAGAATTAAGCAAGCGTCCCAAAACACAGTGTTAGCAATGTGTGTGTGTGTGTGTGTGTGTGTGTATACATTAGCATGTTTATATGCATAGATGTAAACTGTCAGTTTGTTTTAAATATCGTATATTTAATATCACTGGTAGCTAAATCCCTGATATCCCATGCAGGACGTTCCCCTGCTTTGTGCCCTCACCATTCTGGCTTAGGAATCAGGCCATCAGATGGATGGATGGATGAATGGATGGAAGGATGGATGCAGGTAAATAAAACCAAAAGGTTTTTTTCACACAAAATATTTAAATTATGAGGAGAGAGGTCATGTCAGGTCACCGGCCGGGCTCACCGTGAGCTACCCATCCATGCCGGCAGAGGTCACACTGCCGTGTTCTCAGCCTCCCCGGTTTGAAGCTCTTACAGCCACAGTCCACCAGGGTGCAGCAGATTGCCTGGGGAGGGCAGAGACACCCACATTAATGCAAAAAGCAATGAAAGAGCAGGGCCTCTCGAGCTGTTCTCACTGATAACGCACAGGTCACTGGCCATGTTTTCAAATGGTACCATTTAGATTAATGTTTCTGTGTCTGCTCTGAGCACCATGCCAGCCCCTGGGAGCAGAGGGGAGGATAACAGGATCTGAGCATTGCAGATGCGCTGACGCTTCCTTCACCTAGAGGGTGCTGTTGCACCGCAAGTGGCAGTCTGTCCCCTGGGATGCAGCGCGTGCAATGCAGGCTCTGCTCCTTTCCAAAGATGAACCTGAATGCGACCTGCACTCGTGACAGGCCTGCTGTGAGCACGCAGTGCGAGACAGATGGGGAGCAAACCTGGGATCAAAATAACTGGCATAATGAAGCGGGGGTTTTTAAGGAAAACTGTATCACTGCAGATGTGGGTTTTTTTTTTTTTGTTATTTTTAGGTATAAGGATAACACCTCGAGTTACTGCTTCACCCCCCACCACCCCCCGCCCAGTGGTCCCTGGGGATTGTCTCTAGCTCTCATTTTCCACTTTTGGTGGCCTTTTCTAAACCATTCATCCTATCTCTGTCAGTTTGGAATTAATCTCCAAGATTCTCTGTGACACAAATCTGGCCAAAAACAGGAGATTCCCAATGCAGGGAGTTTTACATGCCACCTCGGAGCTATACACCCCTATAGTTACTCCCATAAACACAGTAATTCAAAGCGGCATGTATGACAGCAGGAGAGCAGGACTTTATACTGACCTTCATTGACTAAGCAAACACTTATGCTGCATTGTTCCATTTGAACTGGGAAGTTGGAATTTCTGAGTTCCTACATGGAAAATTCAACTGGAACCTCTGCAACCCCAACCTCAGAATTCCAGACGGCTGCACAATTCATCAACAGAAGTGGAAGTTGTAATTATATACCGTGTATTAGCCCTTATATCTCATATTGTCTCGTTAAATTGGGCGTACACAGTACAGGACTTATTGTTACAGTGTTTGTATGTTTGTAATGTGTTGTCAACTGATATTGGCAACAACACACCTGGCTATAACTTGGGCCTGTTTTAGAAAACAGTATTTCTTGCTTAGCTGGATAACTTGTCAGATTCAAGGCAGTCTTAGCTAAATGTAAGTGAACGTAGATAAAGGCCATTTAAACTTAAATCTGACACGTTGCCCAGCTAAGCAATAAATCCTGCTGTTTGAAACAGGTCCCTGGTATTGCAAAATGGCTTTCCGATCATGACTTGTGTACTGGAACACAGTTAACTCAGGTGTGATGTCATTCCCAGCTATGACTTCCGATCATCGATGTAAATGTAACACAGCATTATCTCAGGCTTGATCACTTCCCTGGGGATATCTCGGAGTAGACTGAGGCTATTGGCCTTGCTTGAGTTTTTTTGGTGTCCCCCCCCATGCTAATTGTTCTGTAGTTAGTCAAACCTGTTTTCCCTACATGTTTGTGATATCCCCCGAAAATCATGTCACACCTGAGAAGGTGACACCAGATAGCGCGTTTTGGGAAAGTAACACTGGATAACACGCCTCGGGAAAGTGACACCGGTTAGCGTGCCTCAGGAAAGTGACACCGGTTAGCGTGCCTCAGGAAAGTGACACCAGATTGGGAACCTTGGGAAAGTGACACCGGATGGCGCGCCTCGGGAAAGTGACACCAGATTGGGAACCTTGGGAAAGTGACACAGGATAGTGCGCCTCGGGAAAGTGACACCGGATGGCACGCCTCGGGATAGTGACACCGGTTAGTGCGCCTCGGGAAAGTGATACCGGATAGCGCGCCTCCGGAAAGTAACACCAGATAACACGCCTCAGGAAAGTGATACCGGTTAGCGCACCTCGGGAAAGTGACACTGGTTAGCGTGCCTCGGGGAAGTCACACCGGATTGGGAACCTTCGGAAAGTAACACCGGATGGTGCGCCTCGGGAAAGTGACACCGGATGGCGCGCCTCGGGAAAGTGACAATGGATGGCGTGCCTCGGGAAAGTGACACCGGATTGGGAACCTTGGGAAAGTAACACCGGATGGCGCGCCTCGGGAAAGTAACACCGGATAACACACCTCGAGAAAGTGACACCGGATAGTGTGCCTCAACCCTGCAGAACCCAGCTGTGCAATGACAAATTCCCCACAGCCCTCAGGGTATCCGAAATGTGTCAACACCACTTACATTTGTTGCCTTGTGACACCATGTTTATCGGTGGGTTTTTAATTTAATTATGAGCGTAGAGTACTTGTGTCCGGAAATGCATCCTGTCTAGTCTGCAATTATCATAGCGTTCCTATTGATCCTGAAAATTAAGGCTGTTAATGGGGTCTTTCCATTTGTTTGTGTCTGCCTTAGAGTTTAGGACTCAGACGGATGCCTGTGTCAGCCCTGTCATACTAACTCCATGTTAACATTACTGGGCCTTTAAGCAGAATGTTGGGGCAAAGGGGTAACAGTGGAGTCATTCCTAAGTGAGTACAGACTGCGCATCACGCACTGCGGCTGTTTGTAACTAAAAGTGAGATGGGAGCAGCCAACTGAATAGACGTCATTCGCACTTCTGGAGGGAGGAACGATACCTGTCTGATTTAATCTGAACATGCCAGTATGCTGTCTGCAGCCTCTGAGAATTTGCAACAGCCAGGCAGCGCAGGTTAATGGATCCAGTGCCAGCGGCTCTCATTCCTCTCCCAGAAAGAGCACGGTGTCCAGAAAACCCCCAGCTGTGTAAAGTTTATCGGGAATAACTCAGTGCTTCCTGAAACTAAGACAGATTCTCTCATACACACTCCATGTGTTCATACCCAGAGATCAGGTCTTGCCACCGCAATGCAAACATTTGTGGCTCCCGCCAAGTGACCCCTCTGCTTACGGAGCCCAGCTGTGACATGCAGATGATTTCCTCTTCAGCTACATTACTAGCCATCTAAAAAAACCAATCAACAGCATCGACACAGTAAGGATGCACTTAAGACCTGGCAGAGCTCGGGAATGTTATCTGCCTGGACCCCCAGGTCCAAACATCTGAAAGGTCTCATCCCTACGAGCTGTAAGAACTTCACAGCCCTGCAGGATGTCATCGCGGGGTTCAGGCTGTAACATGATGGATAGTCACGAGCTGCTACGGTGTGAGATTCCATAGTCAGGTGATACAGCAGGGGGCTGAGGGCCGCTGACGCTCGCTGAACCTCTCAACAAACAGACGACTTTTCCACAGTCTCCCTGTGAACCTCCGTAATGCCACGATGCTGTGTCAATAACCAGGAAGGACCAACCAGCAGATGGCGCCGGGTCTGAGGAACCTTTGACACTTAAAGGTTGCAACTTTGTTTTTGTACTCCTGAGAAAATATTAAATCTGAACTTCTGAGTGTTTAGGGAGATACCGCGTGTTAAGAAGCTTGCGGAAGCTGCCCGTTATAAGTGTACCCATGATACGTTGATCCAAATGCCTCGAGAGCCAAGCTTTCATGGGCTAGAGCTGTCCCCGACCCTGAAAACTACTGCAGAGACGACGTGTCTTTAACTATTAGTTATACACACCAAATGAAACCCCCAGCATGAAATGCTGAGAAATCAGAATTAAATAAGTATACATGAAAATCTTATAGAAATTCAAATTGAAACACAACCTGTAACATGGTGTGATATTAGGACTCACAAAGTGTCTCACAAACAGGGTACATATGTTTAAATCATAAAATTACGCCTTACAAAACAACACCAAACGGTCTTAGTCGCTATACACACCAACTAATTATATTTTTCCCCTGAGTCTTCCCCATTTGACTACTAATGCAAATTATGAATGAAATACTACGAAACCGTTAGAATTAACATTATTAGACAGCTGTCGATTTGCACGAATCTATCTACCTGTTTGTGCACCGAATTACTCTGCGTGCTGGAAATCGTTTATTAGGCAACATCTGAGACAGTGGGTACAGAGAACAAGTGGTTTAACGGAAACCGTTTGAAAGTTAATAGTGACTAAAAGAAAAAAATGTCCTTTATGTACTTCCAAGCCAGGCGCCGTACTGACCTCGGAACGGTCAGAGACAAACTGGTATTAAGAAGGGCACCGAACCAATGCCGATGGCGACACCAGTACACCGCCAGCCGTGAAACGGCACCTGCAGAAATCAGTGGAAACGCCGCAAAAAAGCACGAGGGACAAAATGACAGTGCGAAGATTTATGTGAACACTGATTGATGGGTCTTCTGAGAAAATAAGAGTGATCGACAAAAGTTTCCATTTTGTTAGGCTCTAGCTTTCGAGATTTGCATGGTGTTTAAGCAGAAGCCAATAAAAACGAGTAAAAGCCATTATGCACAGGTTAATTATATTCACTAGAATAATAAAGCAATAAATCGTTCCTTAATCCCAAAAACTTCATTAAGTGACGATAAAGATTTGAAGGCAGCATGCCTGTCTTACCTCGGACATCCTAGTTAAATAGAGGTTTCCGGCACGATCACACAGCCCCCCGCGCCCTCCGGCTCCATCCGCGGAGGCGCCCGCAGCTCCTGCCCACATACTAGCGCAAGAGGCTCCGCGCGGCGGCACTTTCGGCGGCATCACTGGCGCGCACGCCCGCGCACACATGCACACGTCCGGACACTTAATTTCTCACGCGAACGCGCAGCCTGCTAATGCCGACCTTCAACCACTCCCTCTCTTCTTTTCCCCCCACTTAAAAGACTTCACATGTAACGTATAGACACGTGACAAAATAATAATGATATATAATAATTATTATGCAGGGTCACGGGGGTCCGGAGTAAAAACTGGAACAAAAATGGATGGATGTTTAATTATTAAAGACAAAAATTTTAATTCTATATTAATAAATTGACTAAAATTTAATCATGTAACTATAACTACTTATAATGTGTCATACACATTTAATATGCTTTAATATGTTTTATTCAGTCTCTCAGATTTGTACACTATTACTTTTGTGGGTTATGGTTGT